GTTCAGCTGTGAGCCCTGGGTCATGGTGCAGATGGGGCCACCGTGCTGCCCAGGAGCGCTGTCGGCACCGCGAGCTGCCGGAGATCACCGGTGCACACTGGGGCGGACCAGGAGCCAAAGAACAGCGTGGCCAGGACTCGGCACTACAAACCAGAATCGAGTTGGCTTTGGCCACAAGCGGATGGGCGAGTGCACTCTGTCCATACAAGCAACAAATCTGCTGAGTAAAAAACAATTTCAAGGCTGTGCACGCATGGTGCTTCAATGGAAGAGCTCCCTGTTGCACCCTGGGATGTAAATGTGGTTAAAAGCTGCTGCAGGCAGGAGATGCCACGTCTGTAATCTCCTGTGCAGGCTCAGCTCTGCCTCTTGCTGCAGATGTTTCTCCTCCCATCTCAAATGGCAGAGCCATGTCCTACCCCTCTGCCTCTACACCTGAACCCCATGTGGCCTGCGCCAGATTTGGTGCCCACGGCCCTGACTGCAAAGAGAGGGGCTCAAGAAAGAGATGGCAAATGCTGCCCCTCACCCAAGCTCGCTGAAACAAGGAAAGGCCATTTCTGCTAGAAGATCCATTCTCATCTAATTTAAACAAGAGAAGCCCATTTGTTTCAACACCAGGGCTCTTCAAAGAGAGCCTGAACCCCTTTTTTCCCCTTCACTATAATGGCAGCAATGTATTTTTTCACTCCTCTCTCACATTGTAAAGACTGAAGCATTTTTGCTCAAATTTAAAAAAAAAAAAAAAATATGAAGACCAGACCTTGCAAAGTTTCCACAGAGGGTGGTGAACTTCTCTCCCCAGCAGTGGGCTTATCTGAGATCATCTCCTCAAGGAGTGTGCCAAGATTTCCATACTGGAAAAAGACCCTTCTCAGAGGGTTTTGCACAAGAAAGGATGGTATGAGCCACTGCACGGTGAATTCATCTAAGAGAGGGGGAGGAGGAGAGAGGAGGCGGTGGCAGACAAGGTCCCAGGGGAAGGAGAACAGCTACGTTTCCAGCCAGGAGTTGAACGGAGATGAAGCAATGACTGCAGAGAGGTTCAGAGAAACAACTAGATGTACACGCAACAGCCAGGACTGTGGAAGGGAGAGAAAATGGGTTTGCACAATCCAAGTGCAGGAATCGGCTCTGGCTACAAAGACGTGCTTTGATGGGCAGCGACGACAGCCGCTGCGGAGGGGCCTGATGGGGTGAACTGGGCAGCACACTGGGCTGGATGAGGGCAGGGTCCATTTTCAGAAGCAGCCCCCCCAGGCTTGTGCCTCTTGCAGTGGTGGCAGGGACCTTCAAAAGACAAAGTCAGCTCCACCCTCTCTATGCTTGTCCTGGCCTTGGACCTCAGAAAACAAATGTAACCTTGGAGAAAAGGTTAAGATAAGGAGGTAGTGGAAGAAAAACGGTCTGAGCTGATGAAAGCCCCCCTGTCTGTGTCTCTCTGAGGGGGAGAGAAGGGGAAAGAGAGATTGTGGTTATATTTCTACAAAGGATTTGTAAGGGCTATTTCTAGAAAGCAGAAGAAATTGAGTGCCAGTTCCTGGTCCCCTTCATTAAGGAGGGAAGGCAGCACACTGAATTTGCCATTAAAATAGTAATAATAATAAAAATAAACCATATTCCCTAAATTATCCTATTTTAAAATAAAATAAAATAAAAAATTAAGAGGTAGTTGCCATTTCACATGTGGTCTGGTTTAAATCCTGGGAGCAATGTGGCCCCCGAGATCTAACCTGTTGGAACAGTTCCCCGCTGTGTTCAAAGGCAACGGCGAACCCTTGAATTTGCTTTCAAACTTGGGCTGGGATTGCTAAGGATTTGAAGCCCTGAGCAAGAGGAAGATCTCTCTTTTCATGACCAAGCAGTCTGTGGGGAAAAAAAAAAAAAAAAAAATTGGTGGATTTGCATTAAGGGAACAGTTCGGGATGTGAGGCAAGTCTCTCCAGATGCCCGCTGAATTGTTTTGTGGCTTATGGAGAAAGTCTGCAATCTTCGGGGCTTTTATATAAACCTGGAGGACAAAGGTCCTCTCTCTGTAAGGGCAGGCACAGTCAGATTCCCCCAAATGAAGCTGATTTCAACAGTTGATCTTCATTTAACCCTCCCAAGCCAGATAAAAAATTGCAGACTGAATCTGACCATGTGTACTTAAGAAGGTTTTCTAGTTGCTGGTGCACAGGTGTGGCTACAGGGAGGATGCAGACATACCCCGATATATGCTGGCTAAATAATCCTACTTTTCTGAGCTGGACAGTCTGTATTGGATTAAAAGGTAATGCTGGCTTGTTATCAAAACTCAGGACAGCCGTTTGTCCTCTTCGGTTCATCTTCAGTTTCTCTGTGAGTGTGTTGCTGCACTGAGCACACGGACAGGGATTGCAGAGCCTTTTCTCCTGCTAGGAGAGGAATCTGGAAACGATTACAAGCTGCTCATGCTTAATCACTCGGGTAAATCTTAAATGCTTGTCTTAATATTTTGCAGGACCGAAGATGGCATCTGAATTTTTGTGGTGCGCAGGTTACACAACAGAGCACATAGATTTTGACAGTTTTGCTCTGTGCATGTTTCAGGGGTGGCTGGTCCTGAGGACCCCACATATTCTCTGAAAATCAGGTACAATTTCAAAGAAAACCTAAAATGCAGAGGAAAAAACTCCCAAGTGTTTGCTTGATATTTGTGCAAACCGTCAGCTCAGTTATGTTCTTATGAACCTTTGCTGAACCTGACCATTTGTACCTCAAACTGAACTGGAAGAGACTATTACATTAGTTGGTTTTTGGTTGGTTTTTTTTTAAAAAAAGTCCCCTGTGAAAATGAAAGCAACTAAAATAACTCACAAATCTGAGCTGAAATCTGTCAATGACAAGGCAAAACAATAGAAATCCTTCTTTCCTTCTTTAAATATTGAAATGTTTCACTTCAGCATTTTCAGGCTGAAGCAGTTTGCTTTATCATTTAGTTTGAAGCTTTTTTTTTCTTTTTCCCATTTACAGATGGACCTGAATTTAAAATAAGTGTTGTGGAGTTTAGTTTTACTTTTTTTAAAAGATTAAATAGTCTCCAAGCAAACCAGAACATTTTGTTACTGATCAAGCAAAACCTTTTTGGTTGACCCAAAATGAAACCAGCTTTTCTCATTATATTAAGTCTTTTCTCTTCAGCTCAGTTCGAAAACCAGAATTTTCCACCACTAGAAGAAACCAGTCATCCTTGTTTTCACCTTACTGCTGCAGTAGTCAAGGGTCTAATTTTGGTTGCCCCTATTTTAATCAGAGCTTGCTTTAGTAACCTATCCATTTATTGCAGGCTGAAATCTGTGCGATATCACTGTTTGTAGCCAGGGTGTGGTACAGTTCACTCTCCAACTATCTCGGATACCTCATCAAAGAGCTGCTAAGCCTCTTTGGCCATCAGCCTGCTTATTTACAGTCTTTATAGCTACGGTTCAAACCCTGCGAGCGACACCGACACTTGGAAATCTTCATTAGTACGTGGCCGTGGTAAGCCTTGGAGGTGTCAGTTGGGTGTGCAGTCATGACAGTATTCAAAAACTCAAGAAAATGTGCTCCTCCCAGAGAAACTACTGAAAAACATCATCTACACGAACACTGTGAAAAGCAGCTACCAACCGACAAGGGTGATGTTCCGAAGCCGTGAAAGGAAGTTATCTACTAAAGCCTCGGTGAGAGCCAAGCACTCTGCAACTCAGCGATCCTTTGAAAAACTCCTCCTGGATCCAGCCGCAGCAAGTAACCATTCTTCACTAAGAACACCCATAAACACGTGGAGGTTTACATCCTTTTTGTGCTCACTGCAGAGGGAAAGCATCAACATTTTGTGAACTTTATTGCGGGAAAGATGCAACATTTCACCTTAAAGACTTCCAAACTGTAGCACGCGTTATCTGTGGGGTGGCTGGTGGCCAAGGCTGAGGGTGGAAGCAGATGATCATCCCTCAGGGCTCGGTGTGTGCTCAGGATCTGGCTGGGCACAGGAGCTCCCAATGTGGCGCACCACAGGTTGTGTCCATTCAAGGTGTTGCTGGACTGCTGTATGCAAAATTGGCCATGCTATCTCAGAGCACCCGTTCATGGTGCTGTGGATAACCTGGCTGACTTGGGCTCCACCAGCCTCTCACTGTGGCTGCAGGGCAGTAGAAGGCAGCTGAGGGGACAGAGAGGTCCTAACCCTGCACATCTGTCTCTTGTAGCTTAAGTGTTTGCAGGATGGGGAGGTGAAGCAAGCTAGTGGATGTCCTGAAGAGCCTGGAGCTTGCTGGTCTCCAAATGGGTTCCTTTGCCATGGGAGATGTTTGATTGTTCATCCTTAATATTTGTGTTACAGACAACTCCAGAGACCCTGAACGAGGAGGAATTAGTTGTGCTCTGGACACGACTCCATGAAGAGATGTCCAATGGCATACTACAAGGATACGGGAAAGGTGAGGGCACAGCTTGTTTTGCAAACGCTCAGGGGTTGTCACGCATCCTTCTTTGGCACTGAATGTATCACCTGAGCTGGTGTCCCTTCAGCCACCTGGGCTGAAAATGAGCCAAAACAGTGTGCGCTGATTCAGCACTGTGTCTTTGTGACACCAGTGGCAGGATTTCTGGGGTACCTTGTGGGGTAGCGAGAGGATGGAAGCACGGTCCTATGTCACTCCCTGAGGACCACCAGCATTTCACTTGCAGAAGGGAGTTGTCTAATCCCAGCTTGCTGAATTGTAGTGGTGTGGAGCTTGGAGGGGTGAGAGGACAGCATCCTCCAGCATGTGGCTTGCGTAGCTGGAAGGAGATAGGTGAACTGGCCTTAGAACGTGTTGGACTCTGCTGTCACATTGGGCAGTTGGGGATATTTGGCACTTTATGGTAATAAAGCGATTTTCACATCATATAATACTCTACTGCAAATACTTATTACAAGCACTGCTGGTTCTTGGGTTTGGCAACCATCTGTCCTTCTGTTTTGCCATGAGAAGATGATTTCCCACACACAGACTTTTGCAGAGGTGGCAGGAGCTACGCATCTGGCTGGCATCAAAAGCGGTACAACCAGTGGTGCAGATGTGTGTGCCCGTGAGAAGGGTGGTGACAGCAATGGAAATAGGTGGGAATGGTGTGGGAAGAATCAGAGTCATGGGAACAAGGCTCGGAGAGGTGTCAAGAGATGGCCTGTTCTCAGCTGGCAGGCAGCGCACCCCGATGGGGATGCGGGTTATCTCAAATGGGCCAACAAAAATGATTCAGCAAAGCAAAGTCAAAAATGCTGTACTGCAGCCTGCACCCACGGGGTGTCTTATGGGTCCCCATCTCCTCTAGAACCTGTGTGGGGATCCACACACCCAAAATCACCAAAAATCTTGTCTTCTTGTCCCAGGGCTGCATTGACCTTTCCTCTGCTTCACCCAATGGATATTTATTGTTAAAAATATCTGGTGATGGAGACACTATGGTGGTCTTAAGTCAATTCTCTCCATGTTTTCCTGCCCTAACTCCTGGGAAGCCCCTTCTCGTCTCTAGCCCGGGTCTCGCTTTCTTCTTCACCTATCCACCATGGACACTGAAAACACACTGCCCCTGTCTCTTTACAGCTGTGTTTTATATATTTAAAGACTATTATCATATCTTCTCCCCCACAATTCCCCCCCATCCAGACTAAACAACCGCAGTTCATTCACTTGAGTGTGTAACAACAATAAGTTTGTTTGATAAAAATTCAATTTGTTTAGTGCAATGGTTCTAATCACTCATGTTATGCCAAAGAACACAAACATTTAGCAAATTTCTCTTCAAATCTCTAGTTTTATCAACTGTTTTGACAGTTAGATTATAATTTTTTACACAAATGGTTAGAATTAAAGCAATTGCTTTCTAATTTTTCTATATAAATGTTTGAATTACTACTTACATTAAGCAATACAATTAAAAGTATTATAGAACTGTCATGAAATATTTAACTTTGCTTTCAAGAAGTATTCTTTTAAAAATATTTAAAAACTATTTAGCAAGTATCTTCTTAAAGTCATTAGCTGCAAAAATATTTCTTTAGCTACATGAAAATACATATAAATAATTTCTCATTTCCACTTGTTTTACTCAGCTCTGGTTTTGCCATTCAAAAGTGGTGAATTTATAATCTTCAGGATATTTCTGGTCAGGATAAATTTTATTTTATTTTGCCAGCTTTCTTCTTAAGGTGGTTTTATTTAACCAGTTTTTAATCCTGTTTAGATACAGATAGACAAGGTTTTTTTCATGCAAACATGTTAAGATGGGGAATTACTAAGGGATTTTTTTTTGCCTGTATGGAAAATTTATCTCAAATAGCCTCAGGGAGGAAAGAAAAACCCCAAAAATGTCAGTAAAAATTCTTTTTCTTTAAAAAAAAAAAAAGGAAACTTTCATATTGCATGCTGAGCATTCTTTCAGTTCAGATTTTATTTTCTGAAAGCTGAACTTATCTTAAGGAAAATACCCCAAAATTGAATCAAGAAAACATGAGGTGGGGGCCTTAAGAGCTGAGATGTTTTGAGGCTCAGTTTCAAAGCAAACACATCACTGTAATGAGAAGTGCCCTGGAAAAACACGCTGCTCTCCCCACCCAGCTCTGCTTGCCACCAGCCCCACTCAGGACGTGCAGAGGAGCGGGTTTAGCCCTGGCACGATGTGGAGCCCCGTGGAACCATCTCTCCCCCTGGTTTGGCTGCTGACAGCTCCCAGCACCCCTGGGAAGGAAAAAGCGGTGTCTGCAGGTCTAGCTGGGGAATGTGCAGCCTGCTGGAGGCCAGGGCAAAAAATCGTACCAATTTCTGTAGCCCTGCACTGTGTCTTCATATTCTGTGCCCCCGGCGGTACTGGGACTTTTTAATTTGGTCCAGCCCCACTGGTGCCGCAGGCAGCCCTGCAGCATCCTACAAGGAGAGGAGAGAAATCTGCCGGGAGCCGTGCTAGGACATGCCCCCTCCTTTCACTGGGATTTGGGAAGCAAAATTTGGACTTTTTAAAGCAAAACAGCTGTGGTTTCAAACCATGGCCTTAGCCCAGAGGTCAGGAGACTACCCCTAAGGTCTCTGTGAAAGGTAACTCAGGGGAAGCAAGGTCACAGCCTTAAACTTGCTGCGTAAGAAAATGTGAAAAGATCCGCAAATCAAAAGATGTTGAAAACCATCAGTTTGTATGGTTTAAAAAGCAGGTTTCTATGCCATTTTTTTCACTCAGTAGCTCTTTAGATAAGTGGATTTCTGTTTCCCGCTAAGAAATTCTTACAAACCAAAAGATTGACTTGGTCCCAGAAATGACAGTGCTTACTTAATCCCAGATACCTGGCAGCTAAGGGGAACAGAAACCGGGAAGACAGAATAATGCCATATTTTTTTAATTCAGTTTTCTCACTTCGCTCTAGAATAACAATAACTCATTTACAGTGGAAACTCTATTTCCATGAGATATACTTGCATTTTTGCATAAATCCTCAAGGCAGCCCATTGCAGTACAGATGGCAACTGCTGGACAACACTAGGGCTGTGTTCTTGCAGTGTTACGGGGGTTTGAATCGCTGGCTATGGTTTTATATCCAGAATAAAGCAGCCAAGAGACAGAGTAAAACACACAGAACCCACTGTTAACGTCCTCCAGAGCCGAGGTGCCGTAACACTGTTATATCACCTTCTTGCACTCAGAGCCCCATCCTGCCATGGGCTGAGCTCCGGGTTCTCGATGCAGCTACGGCCTCGAGAAGCTGGTTAGGAGCATGCTGGTGCTGAGCCAGGCATCATGGCATTTCCCTGGACCTGCCCAGTAAGGCCCAATTAAAGAACAGGGTGCTAGCACGTGGCTGAGGTTAAAGGCATGCTTGCATGCTGGTTTGGATCAGGGCCTGGGGGCCAGGCTCAGTCAGGCTAATTTCCACCTTGGTTTCTGTGTCTGGTGTTTGCTAATGGAGAGCTCTTGGTCTTTGGTGGATTTAGCCAGTAAAAAAAAAAAAAAACCAAAACTGCACACAGATACCAGTATTGATACAAGGCTTGAGGCAGAATCTAATCCACAGCCTGATGCAAAATGGGCAAAACCTGACTGCCTTCAACGGGCTGCAGAGGAGTTACAGCTCTGTACGTGGGTGTTCGCAGCCTCAACACCTGAAGTGCCTTCTTGCTTTCAGTGCCACGCTAAGAAATTAAATTATTCATCTCATGCTTGGAAGCTGCCTGGACAGTTCAGCAGAGAATCAGCAAAAGAAACTTCCATAGCGTGGCTATCAAAAGCATCCTTTAAAGGGCAAATTAAATAACGCATTATTCTCAAAAGGCAGGACTTGCTCCTTGCTTGCATAGTGCCGTGGCTCAGCTAGACACGGCGACTCTTCCTAAGCCAACCTGCATTATGCTCTGGTAAAAGGTGGGGTAGTGTTGACATGGATACAGTTTGGTAGATTTTTTCATTAGGAAGAGAAATAAACAGATTTAGGAATTTTTGGCTCTGTTTCTTCCAGGATGTTTTTTCCCCAGGCCTCTTGAATTATATGTCAAAGTCCTCAGGAGCTTGTGACAAGGTCTGAAACACAAGCAGAAAGAAAATTGGCCTTATTTCATGTCAGGGCTCAGTCTTTTACTGGGAAAATGTTGCTTTGTGTGCTACTGTGACAGTGTGGAGAGTGGTGAGCAGAATCAGGATAAAAAAATACATTTAAATTAGGGAGCCCCTTGCTGGAAGAACTTATTTGGCTCTTAAAAACCCAAAAAGTTTTCAGTATGAACTAAACTGGTGCAAATTGAAGTTATGTCCTGGTACAAATTGCATCTGTCCTGGGTTGAAATGTCATATGGGGTCTGACCCTGAGGTCTGACCCGGAGAGTCCAATTTGCCAGCCAGTGATGACATTTCCACACTGATTTGGGAATTGCACAAAAAAAGATGTTTTTTCCGATCCGTTGGCACTCACCACTTCTGGAATGGGGGACTCCAGGCCAATCAGACCAACAGAAAATGGATGCAGCAGTCACAGAGATCTTCAGGTCTGCTAGTGAGATGGCAACTCTCGAAGAACAGAAAGATGCGGGACTCAAATCCAGCCCCAGATGTAAAAGGAAGGTTTGCATTGTTGCTTTTTCTTTGTGGTTTAGGTTGTCTACTCTCTCTCTTCCGAAAAGGGGATGGAGAAGGTGGTTCCTTTTTTCTCTTCATCTGGTCTTGTCCAGTCTACGTTGTAGCAACGTTTGCATGGAAAATACGTGGCAAATGTTCAGTGCCATGTTACGCTCACTGGACTTTAATCAGCCAGAGAACATGGCTAGCCTCCATTTTCTAAATCTGCTGTTGGTAAATGCCCTGTGAAATGATTTCACTGCATTATAATTGTTCCTGGAGAAAGCTGGCCCAACGGCTGGTAATTAAACCTTTGGCTGATGGAAACTGTTAAAACAGATTGCTGCTTTGCCTATAGCATTATAGTTAACAACTCAAAAGTCTTTATACTTTTTCTATAAAACACATGGGAGTTTTATGCCTGGAATATCTGCGGCAATAAAGTGAATATGGTGCTTCATTTTTGTTTGTAGCATTAAAACTTGGAAGAGAAGAAAGAACTAAGGCTCAAGAATGAGATCTGGCGTTTGTACTGCATGAAGCACATTTGGTTGGTATCTTGATACAGCCCATTACAGTGATTTAGATACCAGGGCAGATTTAGATTCCTGATTCCTATGCAGGCATCTAAAATGGAATTAGGTGCCTGCACCTTGTTGTGGGGCTGGCCCACGCTGATTCATTGTAAAATTCAAGCTGACACCTGGTTCTGCCATCTAGACTCCCTGGAGTTTGAGAGCATTTGAGTCAAGGCTGGGTTATGGTTCTTGTTCAGATCTCTTCTGTGCTTGGTCAGGTTTCCTGGAGGAAGCTGTAATCCTGTCTGAAGGGCCACTTGGCACCCCTCAGCCCCAGGCTCACCCAGGAAGGACCTCCTGGTCAGCGCTGACAGAATCGAGACCACCACACTTCTCCTTCTCTGCTGCTGGATGCCCGTGTCACCTCCGCTCAGTTTCAAGGCCTATGGCTAAGTTGCGGGTGAAAAATGGTGGTGGCACTTCTGTTCCCCAGAGGCAAATCCAATCAGAATCCGATCAGAAACACTGAATGCCTGCCAGCGAGTGGCAGCTCGGGACTGCGTCTCGTCTGACCGGGGCTGGTATTTATGGGATGCGTTAGTCACGCAGGAGCTGTTAAAAGTGCTGCTGTGATAAATTGCAAAGTCATACACGGTTGTCGAGTTGAGTTTGCTCTGGGAGATAGCGACACTTCAGAGCTTGACTAATCCCTTGCAGATTGGGAATGGGGAGGGATGTGGTTAGGCACTGAAAACATCCCCATTTTATTGTCGATGATGTATTATTTAAGCCTCCAGTCCCCTGGATGGCTTCGGCTAAGCATGGGGCTCGTGCCCTGGTATTCCAGCCGGCTTTCTCCTGGTGGGAAGTAAGCTTGTTTGGAAGACCTCCGATAGGCTTAGAGTGGCCACAAGAATTTGGGCTGGATGGAAAAAAACCCGCTTCTTTTCATGGCTATTGAGAGAATATTGCTTTTACTTGCGGGATGTTTTTTCAGTTTATACCTAAGGAGGGAAGTATGTTAGTGCATCCTTTTGCAGAACAGCCAAAGCAGACCTTCAGAAACATCAGTATGGGCAAAATACTACTTTTCCTTGCTGATTTCCTCACAGTGGTGTCACTTGCTTATTAAAGCACATGGGGGCCTAGCTGTGCAGGTGCCCCTGCCTCACAGCTCCCTTACTATACAGGTCCCACAGACATGCTCTGCATGCTCTGTATACCCTGCAAACGCAGCTCTGGATGCACTGGAGTGGGTATCTATCTCATCTGCTTTTATTAACTGCCTAATTACAAATTATAAATAACCAGGAGGTCGTGGTGATGCTCCTCGAAGCTTGCTTTATTTGCGAGCGGCTCTGCCTCTTCATTTACGCCTAATTAGCTGGGACTCACTGTGCTCGTTATGGCATGGCATGGCATGGCATGGCATGGCATGGCATGGCATGGCATGGCATGGCATGGCATGGCATGGCATGGCATGGCATGGCATGGCATGGCATGGCATGGCATGGCATGGCATGGCATGGCATGGCATGGCATGGCATGGCATGGCATGGCATGGCATGGCATGGCATGGCATGGCATGGCATGGCATGGCATGGCATTCTCAGGAGCTCCGACGGGTCGCTGGGCCTGCCCGCCCGCTGAGGAGCGCTGGGGCTG